TATACACACACACACACACACAATATAAATGCGTTTACACTCAGAAACAGATCCGCAGTCATACACATATGATACAAATGAACGGTAAGTTAACGTTAACAGTAACAATGGTTATATTAGATACATTGTCAGTTTTCTGACAAAGAAGCCTGTTACTTTAATCATTGAGGACGTGTTGTCGCGGAGCACTTTAAGCAAAACAAGGATGGCAGAGTTGTTCATACTGATTTGTCAATTCTGTTTACTTGGTCAGTTATCTGAAACTTTAAAAAAGAGAGGAAGTCCGTAACGAGCGACCCCTATGAAACAAGTATAGAAAAGAGGGTTAGGTTAAGGTTAACCCTAGGTGTTGGGTTAGAGTTGGGTCTAGATCTAGGTCCTGTCTTTTATTGTGTTTGTTGATCGTTACAGAAGTCTTTCCTAAAAATAAAAACAGGGAACAGCATGTTTACTATGAAACATACATCTTGTGTTTCTGAATATATATGTATGATGATTTGAAATATGCCACAACACTGCCTTTGGTCTGCTGCTGTTGTCGGACGTATTTGGTGGCCTCTGTCTACGTCCTTAATTTTAAAGAGTTAAGCTTTAACTACTCACACTGCCCTTCCCTTCCTTCAGCAACAAAAAAGGGAACGTTGTAATATGTTTTAGTAAACTTTGGAAAACCTACCACTTAAGCTTTTATTACCTCTCACATTGCCCGCCCCTTCCTTGAGCAACAAGATTTAACGGAACATTGTAAGGAGTTTTTGTAGACTCGGGGAAAAAGTACTTGCTTTAACTATTCACACTGCCCGCCCCCCCCCCTCCAAAAAAACAACAACAAACAAATAAACAAACAAACAAAACAACAAAAGGAACATTGTAAGTAAGGTGGTTTTTTTACTTGGAAAAAAATATTTAAGCTTTAACTACTCACATTGCCCGTGCTTTCCTTCAGCAACAAAAAGGAAACATTGCAAGGAGTTTTTGTTGACTCGTGAAAACGTACTATGCTTAACTACTTTCACCGCCTGTCCCTTCTCCACGAAACAAAAAGAGAACATTGTGAGGCGTCGCAACAATCAGAGGGAACTTCTCCACAGTTCTTGCCCGCCCGACTAACTGACTTCCGGCAGC